TCAGGCATTTTGGCTTTCCCAGTTAAGATGTTGCAGCAGGTGATAGGAAGGTTTTTTTGCAGTCATTAACCAGCACAAAGGCAATCTACTGTGTATATGAATATGCAAAGCTGAATTGATAAAATCATAATTTGTTGTTGTTCAGTTGCTAAGTTGTATCCAATTCTTTGTGACCCCATGAACCATACTTAGGACACCAGGCTCGTCTGTCCTATACTGACTCCAAAGGTTTGCCCAGATTCATGTTCATTGGTTCAATGGCATTATTTAACTATCTCATCGTCTGCCGCCCCTTCTCCGTTTGCCTTCAATCAGATCAGAATAGCTACAGTAGGGTTGTATGATCCGAGCTGCCGTCTCTCTATAAATACTGGTGGGGAGGTGTGGGGTGCTGGCTTTGTTGCTGTGAGTGGGTTGGTTGCCTGTTGCCTGTGAGCGGGTTGTTACATCTTGATTAGTTGATGGAGTTGATATTTGCAGATTAGTCAGCTGTTTTGTAACATCCTGTGTGGGTGAGATCCTTGATGTTTGCCCATTAGTCGTTTGTGTTTTAACGACCTGGGTAATGGGCTGTGTGTTAACATCCTGAGTTCTAGTATTGTGATATCCTGAGTTTTTTGATGCCACATCCCGGACTTTGGTTTGGCTCGGATGTTACAAAACAGCTGACTAATCTAAACATCAACTCCATCAACTAATCAAGATGTAACAACACAGGCAACCAACCCGCTCACAGCAACAAAGCCAGCACCCCACACCTCCCCACCAGTATTTATAGAGAGACGGCAGCTCCGATCACACTTTCCTCGCACAAGCATGAAGCCAAAGACACCAGCCTGAAGATGACGAGTGGGACTTCATCGAAACGTCGCCAAGATACTCTCAATCTTACACGGGAAAAGACCTGAATACACCAAAACTTGCATATATATATATATTGCATATATATATATATGTTTTCTGAGGTTTTCGCGGGTGTTTGTATGTAGGTCTTTGGTTATTCGGGTTTTCTCCCGCGTAAAATTGGAAGTGTCTTGGCAATGTTTCGACGAAGTCTCATTCGTCATCTTCAGGCTGGTGTTTTCGGTTTCGTGCATTTGCTCCTAGAAGCACGAATGTGTTTCTGTGTGTATACACACACACACACACACACACACACACACACACATATACATACATACATACATACATACATACATACATAGAATGTTAACTAAAACCAGCATTAAAAACAGAATACTAAGAAGCTTGCTTCAGCTACACATGAGTGACAAAAGAGGAATGGAATTAAAATTAATAATCAGAACAGTACTGTATAAATGCTAAAATAGTAACATAAAATCACTAGTTCTTAATTATCCTTGCCTGATTTTGCGTGCTACCACACAAAACCTGGCTACCTTGCAGGTTATTTCAGGATAAATGTCAGAGAACAGAAATTGCATAGATTGTCAGTTGGGGAATCCTATTTTGTGGTTCAGGGATGTGATAATCAGGTGCTATGAAAAACCTACCCCCGAGAATTGCTACATGATCTGAATAAATTATCCGCTTTAGAATTTTCAGTCAGAAAATTGTACTGTATTGTACACTGTACACTGTAAAAGGGCCGTGTGTGATGTGTGTGTTTGTGTGGAGGTGAGGGTGGTAGTAAGAGTGACATTAAAAATAGAGAATGCTAGGGAAAATGGTGTTAATGAGTTCCAAGCAGGTTTTTTTTTTTTTTTAAATGCATTCACAAAGTCATATCTCACCTACATTTTATTTGCTTAGCCAAGGCATATGGGTGCTGAAGAATTGACATGATCCACAAGGTGGGCACCATCCATAGAGCTGACTTGTATTCAATTACTGCTTCCATGATTTTTCTTAAGGATCATTATCAGACTCACATCCTAGGTTTCTGTTTCTGATTCCTATTTTGTCTTTGTAACTAATTCTTAAATTTCAAAGATTAGAATGAGAAAATTAGTATTCCAAGACCCACTTGAATTCTATGCATGTAGTTTTGTGCTTCCGGAGAGAAAGTTGTACTTTAGGTCTAAAAACGTGGACTCGTTTTACAACAAAAGTTGGCTTTGCTGCAGTTATAGCCCTCACCACTTTATAACCAGTGAAAACCCACTGATTAGCAATGGACTTTATCATATATTGATAGACCAGAGCAGTCATGGGATTATTATCTTGGTTTCTCATATAAAGTTTGTCCTTGACTTCTGACGTAATGGAGCCTGCCTATTACGGTGATATATTGTAATGTGTAAAGCACATTATCAGACCTTTTTTACAACCTTTTTTGCAGTGGAAATTAAGCAAAGCCATGGTCCTAAAGTAAGCATGTTAGTTGTAAAGCAAACCCATTGTTCATTATGGGCTATTTTGCAAAAAAACAGAAATAAAATGCCAGTTTTTGGCAGAAACATAATAAAATGTGGAACACTGCCAATAGTCATAAATGTGGGCTAGTTGCCAAGTACTCAACATGTGGCCATGTAACTCAGGGGTCCCCAATATGTGAGCTGCAGCCCACTACCAGGCCATGGCCTATCTATAGCCTGATTCATGCAAGCAACGGGCACCAACACTCACAGCCTCACTTGCAAATGAAGCTGTGTGCACCCATGTGTCTGCCCCTTACACAAAACCATCCCCTCTTTCCTCCCCGCCCCCCCGTGCCACGGTACCAACCTGGAAAGGTTGGGGAACACTGATTTAATCATGGGGGGCCCTGGCCATTGGAACTTCAGAACCAGGTTCATTGTAAGTATCTTTGAAGAGGTCTCTTGTAACTTTGAATGGCAGCTAAGTGACCAGTCGTAAGTTGAGAACTATCCGTATTGGGTTCGCATGATGCTCAGCTGGCTAAGAAACCCTGTATCAATAGGCAAATCCTAATTTTGAACATACAAGATGCCAGGTTCAAATCTGGGCATCCCACTCAGGACATTAGTGCTTGTGACTCAGCAAAGCCATTGCCCAAAAGATCCAGCCTTCCTGCCACCTGCTCTTCTCAGCGGGGGGGGGGGGTAGATTGCAATTCCCAAAACCTCAGTTAGTGTCCCTGGCGGCTTAGTGTGGCCACTGTGGTGGAGAGGTTTAAGATGCTGGGATAGGACTGATGCAAATGGCTCTGGATCAGGCACAAGGCCCTGGTGGTTAAGAAGAGAAATGGGGGGGGGGGGCATGTTGGTTGCCTCTTGAGAGTCTTGCAGCCAGCTGAACATCTAAGGGATAAAATGATCAAATCCAGCCAGCGCTGCTAGTGCAGGTCAGGGAGACCAGGCACATCTAGGGTGACAGGCAGTATTTATATATATATATATATTATGGATAATGGCATAATGGCATATATGCCATTATGCCATTATCCATTATTCCATTATCACCTGCAAAGGCGGCAAGTGAGCAGGAGTGCCTACAAACCTGACAGCTACACGTGTGAAGAAAAGCATTGCAGGCAGCCACCAGAAACGCGCCCGCAGCGCCAGCATCTTCACCTCCTTGAAAGCTTCCCGTCCCTCCGCCGCAGGGCGATGACCCCGGAGGGCCAGCCGGCGGCCACAAAGGGCGTCGCTGCTGCGCCTGAGCTCCGCCAGGACCCTCCTTCTCGGGGCGACTCCTTAGCATCGGCATCGGCATCGGCAGAGCCGGACGGGCGGGTGGGGGGCCGGGCTCCGCTCCTTCCACCCTCCCCGGGAGTTAAGTGGGAGGATCTGCCGCGGCAAGCGAAGAAGGGACGGAAGGCGCCGCCGCAGCCGCTCGGAGGCGAGCGCTGACTTCAACCGCCGAGGCGGCGGATCGGAGCCGAGAAGGGCTTGGAGAGGGAGCAGGTGAGCCCGGGCGGGGGGCGGGCGGAGAGGAGGTAGCCAGCCGTCGCGGTGCCCTGGCCGGAGCCGAGGCGGGCAAATGCAAAGCCGGGAGCGCTGGGGAGGGGGCGGGGGGGGGTGCTTTAAGGTGATCGCCCCCTTGAAGGAAGAGCGGGAAGGTGGGGGTGAGGATGGAGCCCATCAAAGGATGCGCGATCGTCGCTCCTTGCAGCCTTGGGAGCCGCGCGCTCTCCGTGCATGTGCACCGTGCGAAGGGCGCTAAGCGGCGATCTTTGCAACGCGTGGCTGTATTGCTAATGCCCGCTCCCCCCCCCCCCGCCCCCCCCCCCCTCCCCGCTGCACAAGGACATTTTAAGCGCGCGCAAGGCAAGGACAGCTGCTCGGTGTGGGTGTGTGGAGAGGAGAGGAGAGGAGACGGCGGCTTCTTTGCTCGGTGCCTCCAAACTGGAAGCAGCATCTCTCTCTCTCTCCCCCCTCCTCCTCTTCTGAGTACGCTTCACGCTCAGGGAAGTTGAGGGAGCCTTTCTCTTGAACGGGAGAGTAACGAGTGGGAAAGTCCCCGCTGAGCGTGCTTCGGAGGAGGCTTTGTGTGAGCAAAGGGGTTTCAAGGGGAAATAGCCGCCAACGCTCTTTAGTTGCCGGGTGGGAATTAGAAACGATGCCCCCGGTGCTGGGCCTCCTCCTTGCAGGGCATCTCCCTTGAGTATGTGCGTCGTGCCTTGAAGCAGACCAGAACCGCTGCTTGGCATCCTCAGTGTTTTTGGACTGTGAAATGGGAGCCATCAGTGGGGCCATTATGCTGGCATGGGATGCTTGAAACAAATGAAGGTCCCAAGCAGACAACTGTTTAAGTTGCAATTAAGTTGCAATCAATTAACTGTTAAGTGCAATCACCAGGCACAGTATGGTAAACTGGGCTGCACACTTTTGTGACTAGAAGTAAGCACCCCGTTTTGTTTCTGTTTTCAAGATTCTGCGTTATCATACTTGGGACCTGGTGCAGAGGGCTAGGTTTTGAACCACAGGACCTCTTGAATATACACTTGAGTAGGACAACTCCACCCAGCCGCCTTAATTAAGCTGGTTGCCTCCTGTGCTGAAACCAGCTGGAAATGAAGCTGGTTTAAGAAGCTGCTGTCTGGATTTCAAGCTTTGGTAAAAACTGGCTTTGGTAAAAAGGTGGCCAGGAGTTCTGTCTGGACAGCAGCCACCATGGCCCTGATTGGTACATCATCCTGCTTTTTTTTTCTTTTTTATCCTTCCCACCCATGCCTGGAAGGCAAGCACCAATTGGGCAGACTTTTGAGACTATTCATTTGCATGAGCAAACAACATCCCTGGTCATAGACCCATACAGTCTCAAGTATAATATTGTTTGTTGAGTTCAACCCCAAGCTGAGTGCAAGAATTCTTGCTCATGATGAATGGATGAACTCCACAGGTGAGCTGGTGGGAAAATAACCAGAGGCATCCCTGTTTCAGCTTCCTGCTGTCATTTGAGCTAGAAGAATAAATTCTTGTCAATTTCATCCAATTCTTGCTTTCTGCCAGGATGTGGTTTGGCAAAAAGCCCCAGTATAAAAAAAAGGTTCAGCCATTAATGTTATTGGATTCAATAAATTCCAGGATAACTGAGAGGCACATCAGCACTGAGAGAGGAGAGAAAGGAATGGGGTGTGTGTGTGTTTATATATGTGCGTGTGGGGCATTTGTGTGCATATGCCTCTTCTTTATGAGTGTTTGGGAAAAGTTTTGGTGTTCATTGCTCTTTTCTTTGCTTGCCCACACTCTCTTTTTCTCTGGCACACAAAATCTTTTGCTGCCCTTCCCTTTCTCCTTCATGTAGCCTTCTCTTCCCCTCCACACCATTCGGGCCCCAGGTTCCTGTCCCTCCGTTGCCATTTCATTGCTTTTAGGATGCTTCCATGGGACTGTTTAAAACACATATAGAGAGATACTGACATACACACACAAACACACACCCAGAGTTAAGGCTCACAGTTTCACTGGTCTATCAGCAGACTAATTAAATAGAACCTCCCCCCCCCAAGAAAGATTCAAACATGAATGGTCCACCTGTGGACTGGTCTAAGAGTCTAGGAAAAATGGCCAAGAGTGACCATGATTAAAGGAATGACGCATACACAGCACAGCCAATTGACAGCAGGGCTGGCACGCTGCTTGGACCAGCAGAGACTGGAAAATTACTTTTCATCCAAAAAAACCCCCAAGGAAAAATGGGTGACCAGGGGCAGGTTGAGGATGATGTCATGCATTTGTAAGCAAGCTGCCCAGCACCACACCAAGGCAAGTGGTATATGCAAATTAGCTGTAGTATCTCTATTATAAATCAGAATTGTGGATCAGATTAGGTGCAAAAAGAAGAAGAAATGCGTAGATAATGTAGCTGAGACATACTGCAATGTTTAATTTACAGTACTGTTGATACAAAATTAGAAGTTTTGTGCACCCACATATCACACACACACACACACACACACACACACACACACACACACACACACAAAATATGCTGGTCTCTTCTTTGAGATAAGATTCATGCAGCTTCTGGGGAAATTATCTAGAAATAACTCTTGATGGCAAAAATGTACGATTTTTGTCGGCTAAGAATAACAAGCCTGCTTAAGTAAGTGATCTTCAATTGCTGTTTGCCTTTGAGAAAAAGGAAGTACAGTTTTGGCTGCTGCTGCCATTCCTTCTGCTTAGTCCAAGGATTTGCAAAGTTGGAAGAAGAGGAAGCTTCTTTCCGTGGCAGATCTGGCACAGAGCTTCATCTTTCATGCTGCTGCTGCAGAAAATCCCTACTTCCAAGAGATGTCAAGAAAGCTTAGGCTTTTTTTTTTACTAATTGCTTTGATGCATCAGGGACAGTGGTGAAATCCAAATTTTTTTACTACCGGTTCTGTGGGCATGGCTTGGTGTGGCTTGGTGGGTGTGGCAGGGGAAGGATAATGCAAAATCTTCATTCCCACCCCACTCCTGGGGGAAGGCTATTGCAAAATCTCCATTCCCTCCCCACTCTGGGGCCAGCCAGAGGTGGCATTTGCCGGTTCTCCAAACTGCTCAAAATTTCTGCTACCGGATCTCCAGAACCTGTCAGAACTTGATGGATTTCACCCCTGATTAGGGACCATGGGTTGGCTCATGTGGACTCTCTCTGGCCCTTTCTGTCCTATAGTGAACCCTACTGAAGGAGAACAGCAGAGTTACACCATCCATGTGTTGGGAGGAAGAGGCCTTAATGGCAAGCGCCTACCATGCAATGGGCCCTTGGGTGAATGGGAACCCAGTCCTAAGATGGGCTTCAGTGCAGAGAAAGCTTTTGTCCATAGCACAGGATAGGCTTGGTGAAAACGCCTTCCCTGGGGAGGGGCATGGGGGAAATGAGAAAAGCCAGCCGTGATCTCTTTTATGCAATTATCTACTGCATGAGAAGGAAAGCCACGCAACGCTATAGATTTTCAATATTTGCTGATCACCTATAAAAGCGAAAAAGTCATCACAGCCTTCAGATATAATCGCAGCTCTAATCAGAGGTTTCTACCAGAATGATAAAAAAAAATCAAGAGAGTGGCCCTGACCCAGCAATTGAAGCTCTGCCTGTTTGTTATATCTATTACTGCTGCATTGGCTTCCGGTGGACTTCCGGGTGCGCTTCAAGGTGTTGGTAACTACCTTTAAAGCGCTCCATGGCTTAGGGTTGGGGCAGGGCCGGATTTTCCTATAGGCTAACTAGGCTTCAGCCTAGGGCCTCAAGATCAAGAGGGGCCTACATTCAAATTGTTAGCAAAATTAAAATTACACTTTCACTATAGGTGAAAGGGCCTCATAAGTGGAATAGCCTAGGGCCTCTTCATCTAAATCCAGCCCTGGGCTGGGGTACTTACGGGACCGCCTTCTGCCACCAATTGACTCCCACCGGCCAGTTCGCTCCCACAGAGAGGGCCTCCTCAGTGTGCCGTCAGCCAGACAATGTTGGCTGGCGACCCCCAGGGGGAGAGCCTTCTCTGTGGTAGCACCTACCCTCTGGAACGATCTACCCCCAGAGATACGAGCGATCCCAGACCTCCGGACTTTTCGTCGGGCCCTAAAAACTTACTTTTTCCAGTTAGCCGGGCTGGCTGATTCCATGTTGGTTTTAACGTTTGATACTGATTTTTAATTGAAATGTTTTAAATTATGGGCCAAATTTCATTTAATTATTTTTAAAAATTATTTTAACTTTTGTGTACAAATGTTTTTATTCTGGCTGTTCACTGCCCTGAGTCCGAAAGGAGAAGGGCGGTATACAAATCTAAAAAAAGATAAAGAAAGATAAAGATATTACACATGTTATACAGGTAGTCCTCGAGTTACAACACTTCATTTAGTGACCATTCAAAGTTATAACGGTACTGAAAAAAGTGACTTATGACCGTTTTTCACCCTTACGACCGTTGCAGCAATCCCCATGGCCACGAGATCTAAATTCAGATGCTTGGCAACTGACTCATATTTATGACAGTTGCAGTTTCCTGGGGTCATCTGATCACCTTTTGTGACCTCCTGACAAGCAAAGTCAATAGGGAAGCCAGATTCACTTAACAACTGTGTTACTAACTTAACAGCAATGAATCACTTAACGACTATGGCAAGAACGGTCGTAAAATGGGGCCAAACTCACCTGACAAATGTTTCACTTAGCAACATAAATCTTGGGCCCAGTTGTGGTCATAGGTCGAGGGCTTACCTGTACACATAACAAATGGATGGAGCTTCGATTGCAGCTGCCATCTTGATTTTTTTGAACCATACCCTGCAGAAGCCCTTGCCTCTAATATTAATCTTGACTATTCAGAAATAAAGAGAAAGAAAGCAAATCAGATATCCATCTAAGAAGGAATAACCGAAGAAATACTCTACATCAGTGTTTCTCAACCTTGGTAGCTTGAAGATGGGTGGACTTCAACTCCCAAAATTGGATTCTGGGAGTTGAAGTCCATCCATCTTCAAGCTACCAAGGTTGAGAAACACTGCTCTACATGGATGCTACTTGTGCCCATTGTTAAGGCTGCCGCAGGAAGGCTTTATTAGGCTGCGACCTAATAAAATTAAATGGAATCCACCTTGAATCTGATAAAATGTTAATCCTATTAAAAGCATATATAAATGAATGAGTAAAAGTAATTACCATAATGAAGCCAGGAGTATATTTTTAATGTGATTAAGTGATAGATAATGTATGCCATAGCAGAGAGCATTATATAACTGTTCTTCCCACCTGTGTGAACAGTGAGAACGTCTCTTCCATATGGAGTTTTCTGTCTTTAGTTTATATAAGCATTTATCATAAAAATGCCTCTTAACATAATCTGCTCTGTCATTACTTGGGATATTTGTTTGACATCTAACTGATTTCATACTCTGATGTCTCTATTTAAAAGTACTCAGTGGGAAGGTTCAAAAAATAGCCTTCGGTGTAAGTAATAAGGAACACATATTAACAAAAATATGGCTTAATTCACATTATCAGAACAGGACATGCTTTGTATTAACTGTGAACTGAGTTTTCAGATGTACAACCCAGAAACCACATTTTATGGTTGATTGCTCCTTATTTTCTCTTGCTTCACCTTTATAAATTTATTGTTATCTCAAGGTCCATCAGATTCTAGAAGGGAACCAATCCTCGTATCTACTGTAACCCTTACATCATACCAAATCATATTTAGTATAAACCATTTCATTTATATCCTTACTAGGTGTAAGCCTTGATTAATTACCATAGCTAACCTATCACAATACTGTTGACTGAGTATGGTATCTGACTCACAACTTGATGCTAGGGCTAGGCCTTGATAAGTAATAGTAGTAATTCCTATTTTTGTTGCTGAATTGTGTATGAAGATAGGTATGGTGCACTGAACAATATATAGAAACCAGTTACAAGCATTGAAAAGGAGTACATAAGAATATTATTAGCTAAAGCTGAAACATGGTTTACAAACATCAAATAGCCAGTGGTTTTTTAAACAGGGCAGATGGATTTAAATACTCAAGGGGGAAAAAAACTTAAGAATCCTTAGGGTTTCTTTGGGATGTCAGATGTTTTCTAGTGAACTCTGAAAATGTGCATTTATATTCACTTTTTTAAACATGAGATTTGTAGTAATTTTTATTCTACCTCTTATAACGATAAGGAAGACTGATTTAACTATGTAGTTC